ATCTCTGCTGAGTAAATAGAGATGCCTTTTATGATTACAGGAAATCCTTATGCCAGGTGTTATCCAATTGTTTGTATTAGTTCTCTTCATTACTTTTTTTGTGTGGGAAGGAAACATTCAAGTTGGCTATTGATAACCTTCTGGGCAGATGCAAAGCACCCACTTACAAACAGTTGAGTGCCTCAAGCCTGCAAGCTGATGGGGTGCAATATGTGACTGAAAATACACTTCATTCTCACCTAAGATTTCTTTCCAACTTTGAAAACACCACCTACAAGCACTGTTAAAGGGTTCATCATGACATCCTTACAATGCAGAAATGCTAACAGAAATGGAATCTAATTTTGCTCACTGACTACTCCTGGAAGCTGACAAGAGAAGCTTTATATACACGCAACAGGGAATTAAGTGCATATTGTTATATTAAATAAAGTGGAAACGACTATTTATTGCTGTTTCCCTATGTTTAATATTACCCTTAATAAAAGGAAAGAAACATTTACTATTACATTTCCTATGTCAGCTGTGTATTTGTGCAGTAAATATACGTTGGGCAGTGAAGATTTTAAATCTCATGGCTGGGACTGTTTCAAGCAGCAACATGGTGTTTTACACAAAATTGTATCGGGAAAGTGCATATGTGTAGAATCTTCAACACTGGGGGAATAAAGAAAGGAACAACTACCAAAAATTACTGAGGGTTATGAACCTAAGAACATTTATATTGTTGATGAGACTGACAAATTCCCACCACTACTTACTGTGAAGGGTGAAAACCTCTGCTGCTTTAAACAAATCTGAAAGTTGCTCACAAAGTATGTACCCAACAGAAATGCAGATGTTATGCAGTCCATCTTTCCTGACCATATAATGACATTAGATGCCAAAATGTGTTTCAAAAACTGAAGATTAGGCTGTGTGCTGCTCATATCCAAGACACAAGTTACCTAAATAATGTGAAAGTTGTGTTTTCCCCCCATATGGCACCAGCCTTTTCTGACCCTTTGACCAGAGAATAATCAGGTTATTCAAACATTATTACCACAAGCTGCTTGTAAGAAAAACTACGAGGGGCAGTCAGAAAGTTCCCAGAATGGTGGTATTGCACTATAATGGTAGGACATACAGCAATGCTTACCTAATCACCTTCAAAGTAGGGGACCCCCCCCCCACACACAAATAAATAAATAAACAAACAAACACATGCAAGCACACACACACACTTGCTCCATTGATCCTTCCATTGTTGGAAGCACTGGCAGAAGGCTTCTTTTGGAATCTTCTGGAGTTCAACTATCACATTCAATTTGATGTCCTCCATGGTTGCGAAATGTGTACCCTTGAGGCCCATTTTCAGAGTAGGGAACAGCCGAAAGTCACTTGGAGCAAGACCTGGAAAGTACAGTGGTTAGGTGATGACAGGAATGTTTTTCTTGGCAAGGAACTGCTGCACAACAAGTGATGTGTGGCTCAGTGTGTTGCCCTGATACAGAAACCACTGTTCCTGCCACCTGCTGCGCCGCTTCCTACGAAACTGCATCACCTAACCTCCGAAAAACCTGCACGTAGAAATGACCAGTAACACTCTGTCCAGCCAGTATGAACTCATGCCGCACCGAACCATCAATGTAAAGGAATGTAATGAGAATCATTTTTTACTTGGATCTGACAAAGTTTTATTTCTTTGGTCAGGAAGACGATGCTGTGCGCCACTCTGACTGCATCTTTGTCACCAGGTCATAGGCAAACATCAATGACTCATCACCAGTGATGATCTCTTTGAGAAACATCGGGTCCTACCTACTTTTCTCAAAGAGATCTCCAGTGACCATCATGTGACATCCCATCTGATCTGCGATAAGCTGCCTCGGAACAAACTTTGCATTGACACATCTCATCTTCAAATCGTCAGACAGAATCACATGAATGGCTCTGTGAGAAATACCAACTTCTTGCTCCAACTCCATGATGGTCATTCTTCGATCACACTGAATCAGTTGTCACACTTTCATAATTATTTCTTTGGTTCTGGATGCTGAAGGCCTCATGCTGTGCTGGCCATCCTCCCACATTTCCCATCGTTTCTTAAACCGGGAAAACTGGTCATAAACTGCAGATTTCTTTAGTGCAGTATCACTGTGAACTTGCTGCAGGGCCGATTGCACCTCTAAAGCAGATTTTCCCAATTTGCACATGACTTGATGCTCGCACACTGTTTGAACTCTGGCACTGCGCTGAATGACCAACACTTACAACTAACTCAAACGGAACAGTAATGATACTGCATGGCAAAACCTGTCCAGACCCGTTGCACCTGCGAGCAGACATGCTGAGGTCCCCACCATAACAATGTGTGCACTATCTTATCTCTAATTCTCCATCTGCAAGGGAATTCCAGAAACTTTCTGACTACCACTGTATTTCTATGATTGCTCATTAGTTGTTTTGTAATGGAACACAACTGTAAATGTTCTGCATGCACAATGTTTCCCTCCAGAGCCATGGCACTGTCACATGTACAACAACAGTGAAATGCGGATTCAATTAACTTCACATAGCCAAAAATAACTGGGGTCGGCTGACAGTAAGCATATCATTTTATGAATACATATTCTGTGATGATGATTTCATCTGAGAGGTGCAAATGTTAAAACAAACGATGGATGAAGAGCTTACATCAGATGTGTTGAAGGAGGAGAGAAGATGAGGGGAGTAGGCAGATGATAATGGAAAAAGTGGACCTCCAGCAACACTGAAGGCCACTGACAATTTGAGAAAGTACCTCATGAAGTCTCAGACCAATGATAACATGCTTGCTGCCCTCAGTAGCACGGACGAGGTGTAGAGAGATTCAGGAGAAAGTGAGAGTAAGCAGCAGCTTCCATTATTGGACATGTGAACGATCTGAACTGGATTATATTTTAGTGTAATAAAGTATTAGTTTAGTGTAAAAGAGCTACACAAATTTTCATTTGCCTGATTTTACATTCACTTTAAATGGTCACTCCAGAAAGACATAATTTAAAACTGAACAATATTTTCACAGCAATACATCATATTTCCAATCCCACCCCCACCCCTTTTTGGGGGTTATTTTACAACACTGTCTGTAGGAAAACTGTATAATGTCGAATGGTATGATGATACATGAACTGCAAAAGAGTTAGAAGGAAGCTGTTATGGCTTAACAGAGATGGATTAAAGACAACCATGAAAATGTTAGCTGGGATAGCCGGTGTCTAACCAAGATTCAAATCCTGCACACCTGAACATGAGTCTAGAGTGCTACCATTATACTAACAAATTCTGATGAATCTGTCAACTGTCAGAATTGCAAAAGAAGAGGGGGGGGCAATTTAAAACGTTTGTTCAGTAGGATTATGACATGCTACAAATAAAACATGAAATGATAAGCTTCTCGCACCTGCTATGTTGAGTTCTTCAATCCTGTGGCAACTTCTTGTGATGACATCCAAGATATGGTCATCAACAGCAGGATTAAGTTGAAGATTGAGGCTCATAAGGTCAGGCAGCTCATCCAGTGATATGAGAGTAGCACTGGTGAATAAGGGAAAATATCCTGCTACTGACAATGAATGCAGTTTTGGAAGCGCACGAATGACACCTGCCACATCACTGCTCGTCAAATTCATACAATAGTTCAGGCTAAGCCTATTAAGGCCCTTCAGTAAACGAAGTCCTCTCACTAGATTCCGAGATCGGAGATTGTTACATTTGTCCAATACTAATTCCTTAAGGGGTGCATGAGCCAGGCCATACAGACATTTTCCTCTTAGTGCACAGTTATTAGACAATGTAACAGATTCCAAGTGTGGACTATGTATGAACACATTCTGAAGTTCTTTATCAAAAACTCCTGAACATCCATCCAGGTTCAGCACTATCAACTCGTGACCAATGGTTGACAGACTTCTAAGGCCAGCTGGAGTTACTGGCAAACCAGCCAGGTTAAGGTAACGAAGGTTCTTACACATAGCAGCTGAAACCACAAATTGTTATATAGTTTCATCATGATATAAACACAGCAAAACACCAAAATAAATTACAAACAAAACATATTTGTGAACTGTGAGTATATCTGAATTCAGACTGAAGTAGCACTGGCAACAGAACATTTCACAATTTAAGATCACAAATTGTAAATGCAACACATGAAGAAAGCAATTAAGGATCTAACTTAACCTTCTGCTATCCAGCACTGTTTGAAACAGCGAAAGGTCAAGTCAGAAAAATAATCCTGTGCCCCAGATTTACAGTGGAATCCCCATTTATTTTGTGTACCTTGATTTTAAGTTTTCTCTCGGTTAACATACAGTTTCAGCGATTGCAGCAATATCATACTCTAATACAGTTCATTTTTCTGGCAGAACATTTTAAAACAAGATGTAAATTACCATCTCAGAATATCTTGTTTATTTCCTTCTATACACTTCTATGTTATCAATCTGAAAAATGTTTGGGTCATACAAGACCATTTTCAGGGGGTGTACCATATTAACCTTTAAACGACTAAAGACAACATATGTCGTCGCAAAAATAAAGGCAGCGGTACGAATGACGCCATATGGTGTCGCACAGTCCGCGCGTGCGGACGTTATTTTAAAATACATTTTTAAGGTAGAAAATAATGTCCAAGTTACATAATTTTTGGCCACCATCTGCATGGAGTGTCTGTCTTCCCACCTGCGTCATCTGCTGGAATGTTGTCTTCGTGTGGAATTCTAAAAAAAATCCGGAAGTGCCGAGTCCGATTTCGCACTTCACGCACTTTGTCCGGACCATCTTTCGTTTCCCACGCGAAAAGCACACACGACACCTCAATTGCAAAGTAGAGGAAGTCGGCAAGTGATGTGGTTTGGCCTTCTATAATCGAGATATCTCCGATTAAACGGCAGGGGTTCGACTCCTGGTCGCACAGTCCGCGCGTGCGAACGTTATATAAAATTAAATTTTAACGTAGAAAATGATGTTCTACTTATGTAATTTTTGGCCACCATCTGCATGGAGGGTCTGTCTTCCCACCTGCGTCATCTGCTGGAATGTTGCCTTCGTGTGGAATTCTAAAAAAAATCCGGAAATGCAGAGTCCGATTTCGCACTTCACGCACTTTGTCCGGACGGTCTTTCGTTTCCCACACGAAAAGCACACACGACACCTCAATTGCGAAGTAGAGGAAGTCGGCCAGTGATGTGGTTTGGCCTTCTATAATCGAGATATCTCCCATAAAACGGCAGGGGTTCGACCCCTGGCCGTTGATGGCGAGGTGGACCCCTTCCAGCATGTTCCGCACAAGAGCGAGACGAAATTCTCTGTGTGACAACAGGATGTAACTGTTCAGATCAAGGAGATGGAAAAATAGCTTATTTGTCCATTTCCAGGTTCGACAACAGATGCTATAACTGTTTGCCACAGTTTGCCCACAGCTCCACCTGAATAATTATTCACACTCCTCGTGCCACGCTGGTGTGGTGGTCCCCAGGTTGCCGACGAAGTCGGGGTCTCCTTCGAAATAACTTTCTGATTCGCTACATTCAACATCACTCTCAGAATTGTTGGTACAGCAATCTGTACCGAGTCGTTGATAGCTGAAATATTCCACACGACACTACGCCATGTACGATCAAACTCCGACTGAATAATTCCAGGAACGAAGCTGTATTATCGCTCTGTTGAAACTACAAACGCAATTTCATAAACAAAGCTAGCCTTGATCTACATAAGAACAGTAGGAACGTTATACAGTAGCTGAGAGCGAAATAAGACACTGAGTTTTTTTCACTCGTCCACATCCACATTCCGAACGAGGTACGTAATATATACTGAGATAAACTTGCTAGACATCACATGAGCGGTGTTGCCGAGTGTCGTCATACACCAGCTTGCATTGAAACGTATCTAGAATGTATGAATTCTTGTAGGGAAACAAAAAATTAGGAAATTTCTTCTTTGGAGTCAGTGCAAAAATTTTAACATGTTTTATACAATCTGTAAATTACAATATCTGATTCTATATTCTTTTGAGAAAAAAACAGCGTTTATTTCGTTCATCACAGAAATTGCAGAAATAGGAGCAAATTTAGTAGATGATTACAGTGTTTATGGCTTTATAATCGCGGGTATTTAAATTAATTCCGTACCGCTGCCCTTACAGGAATTTAAATGCCCGTAGGATAGTGGTTAAAGGTAAAAAACGTAAAGTTGTCCTTGTGCCTAACTAATTTAGCACTATGCCATAAAGACATATGGAGGGATGGATGTATAGGTCCACATATTCTTGACCTCAGTATTAGGTGGAGGTGAGTGGTCAGCTTCATGCCCCAGCCAATTTACACCCAGTGAAAGAGTCCACTGGATAGGAGGTTGGGTGGACCCCAGAGAGGGTCTGGACGACATGGGGAACAGAAAATTCTTGGCCCTACCAGGACTCGGTTGTCCAACCCATAGCCAGTAGCTATACTGACTGAGCTATCCTGGTTCCTACCATATTAAAGGGACACTTTAAATTCATATATAAATAACAAAAAGATTTAAAATATCCGTGTCACAAATATTTCTTATAAAAGATTAAACTCGTATATCTGAGCCTTAGTTATTGCATTTTAATCAAGTAGGCCATGTTATGTTGTTGTCTCATACCCGCTTATTTTAGGTCTCTGTCCCACAATGTCACGTTCTAAGTGAATGTGTTTTTGGTCTCAACAGACACCAGAAATGTGGTTAATATCATAATGATGTAAAAACAGTCCCCAAGCTCTTCATATCACAGCATTAATAACCTAATATTTTGTATATTCCATATTACCCTCAATACACACCTAATGCAAAAAGAAAACTCTCAGAATAATAAAAGTTTTGATGTCTTCTAAATTGCATGTATAAAAGAGCACAACATTTTTTACAAACAAATACTGTTATCTCTCTTTTTCATTCTGACTTTCATTTATGAAGGTCTTAGAAGTTAGCTGATGTAATGATACTTCTAAACGGTTCTGACGAAGGTACACTTGTGATTACTGAGTATCTGGAATTTCTCCATCATCCAAACCTTCTGACAGAACAAACATTTTGAAAATTGGACCTGTTTCCATCCTCAGATGTAAACAAGGGGAGGAACCTACTCACGTCTATTGGAAGAAGCCGATCTCAACCAATAAATTGTGTCCAATTTCCAGAAACTGAGTAATACTAAGTGAGAAACATGTTCTGTAGCTCACAATCTGTTTCATTAAAACCAGCCCACAACTGCAAATGGTTAAAAACAAATTATTATATGTACTTTTGGAACAGAACTCCAAATTTTAACAATCATATTTCAGTATTATTTCAATCTGAAAACACATTAATGATGAGAAATTTAAAACTCACCGACAGTTTGAAGAACAGAAGTGTTTAAATTATGAGGTTTGTGAGACACATCCAGACTCTGTAGATTTCTTCCACATCGTTTCAAAAATGATCTAAGTATTGGCATGTTCAGGACTGTCGCAGATGTCAAAGGAAAGACTAAGCTGAAGTCCAAATGTTTCTGGCACACCCACATATCTAAGCACACCATCTGCCAGCGTTTGCAAACTGCAGACAAACAATTTAACAACAAGACTGTTAAATACAAAACAATAAATAATGGAAACTGAGTTTTACATGTATTTGGAGGATGAGGTACAGAGCATAAGAGAAAAGAGAAGTGCACAAAAAATGTTGTTAAGAACCTAAGGAAAGAGAGGAAGGCCTTGGCATAAATTTTGGAGAAAAGTACTGTCATGTATAGAGTGGTGTGCATGACCTATCAGACAGGTTTTGGATTGTATGACTGTGTTTACTCAGAACTTGTATACACCAATTTGGACTAGAGGCAATAGAGCACTATCGCTGATCTACACACTTTACAATTCACTGTTACACATGCACTAGGGTTCTTGGTATATTATAATCTCCACTAGTCTTTTCCTGGCAATGAATTCATAACAGTCTCACTGTAACTTCAAATCACACATAAAGTCTTCTTTGCACAGCCTAATCCCTTTCTTACCACAATTCTCAACCACCTTCAACTGCTGACTCCATCAATTCTCTGCTGCAACTGCCAACTCCTGAACTCAACTCAATCTCATTCTAGCTGTGTGATCCTCCTTATATAGCCTCGGGGCAGACACACAGAAAGCACTGCTTCCTCTATTGTTGTGTGCTGATTCACTGTTGCAGAGATGTGTTTACTGCAAAGTTGCATAGCAACATGCATGGCACAGACACAAAGAGAATGCCACTTGCAAACACCTTTTCTACTGTTGTGTGATGTCAGAGCATACGTAGCGCATTCCTCTGCTGTATGTGAACAGGCCATTACCTAGCAACAGCCGTTTCTCTGCCTCCGCAATTCTTGCTTTGAGCAAATATGCCACAATATTAAAATGGATCTTAAGAAACGAAGATGGCAAGGTGTGCGTTTGGAATCATCTTACTTAGGACAGGGAACAGCAGTGAGCTCTTGTGAAACATAAAGTTGACACTTCCATTTCTATGAAATCTCTGGAGTTCATTCAGCACCTGAGCAATTATTAGCTTCCATAGAACTCAGATCTACACATGCCATTAAGGCATGTATTATGGAGAATTTAGATAGGAACTATAGAAATAGGAACATCTACATTCTATCCGGCAGCCAAGCTGCACTTAAAGTGCTTGACAAACATCAGATCAACTCAAAATTCTTCTAGGATTGCCATCAAACCCTCATGGAACTGGCCAACATAACAGGGTACAACTGATATGGGTGCTGGGGCATGAAAGTATTGCTGGAAATGAAACAGCAGACCAATTAGCTAAGACTGGAGCTGAACATCTGTTCATAGGACCTGAACCAGCCTGTGGCATCTCTATAGGAGTTGCCAGAAAGGCAATCAGGTACTGGACAAATATGAAGCAAAAGAAATACTGGGGATCCTTGACTGGCCTCAGGCAAGCAAAGGGACTCATACAAGGACCCTCTGCTGAAAGAGTGAAGGAACTGTTGAAGTTAAACAGGAACCAGCTACGATGGGTGGTGGGACTACTTACAGGACACTGTCACCTTAAAGGACACCTCTTCAAACTGGGACTAAGTGATAATCCCACTTGTGAGAGGTGTCAAGAAGAAAATGAAACAGCCATACATATCCTGTGTGAATGTGAGGCCTTGGCTTATTTAAGATTACATCACTTGGGTCAATACTTTATGGAACCAAGTGACTATTTCAACGCCCCCACGTACAAAATTCTGCGCTTCAAATGAAGTGCAGGATTGCTGAGGGAATAATCAAAAGGGGAAGCACAATACACCACTGTAGGTCGCGGTGTAAGGACTGAGAAGGCCCACCCCTTATACATTCATTCATTCATTAGTTAAGGCAAGGAACTGTTACTACAACTAGTTCTGTCCCACTACTGTACTTCATACATAAAAACTAACTCTTGTTTCATGTAAATAAATCCAGCTAGTCATATCTTATGCACTAATTTATTAACGTGCCTGTAGACATTCAAACTAAAAAAGCAACTAAATATTACAATGTTTAGTAAAATAAAATGGCCTAAAGATACAAAGGTTACAGAACAGTTCTCGAAAGAATCAATTTGTCAGTATAAGTTTTATTCCCTCCTGTGGCCAAACCCAAGTTTGTTTGTTTGTTTGTTTTTTATTTCTAGTACAAGCTCTTTCTAAGGACTGACACTTCAGAAGATTTTTCTCTTCAAAGACAGTCACAATGTTTATCACAGCAGGGACTGCAAAATGTGAAACTGGAGCAAGTTTAAATTTTCTGCACTTTCTGTATGAAAATTTCTGCATTCAATACCCAAAAATGTCTGATGCCAGAGCAGATTTCACATTATGGAGACTCCAGTTTAATTCCTGGAGATTTCACATGAGATTCATGTGGAAGTTACTCCAGAACCACCTACAATGAACGACTATGATGGCTGACTGCCACACAACAGCTCCTGCCCAAGCAAGAACATTCAAGAAAGCCAGCCACAGCCAACAAACCAACAAAACCATAAGGCAAACACATGCTGTTCAAGGACACCGAAATAAAACAGCTGGTTAACCAACATAACCAGAAGTAATATGAGGCAATTACATAAAAGAAACAAAACAGCAGTACAGTGAAGAGCAGAGACCTTCATCACAACAACCTGTACACCTGAAGATGGCCGGTTCAGCTGAAATATGTAGTGTCAATAAAGAAAAAAAAGAGTGGAAGTTACTCCAGAACCACCTACAATGAACGACTATGATGGCTGACTGGCACACAACAGCTCCTGCCCAAGCAAGAACATTCAAGAAAGCCAGCCACAGCCAACAAACCAACAAAACCATAAGGCAAACACATGCTGTTCAAGGACACCGAAATAAAACAGCTGGTTAACCAACATAACCAGAAGTAATATGAGGCAATTACATAAAAGAAACAAAACAGCAGTACAGTGAAGAGCAGAGACCTTCATCACAACAACCTGTACACCTGAAGATGGCCAGTTCAGCTGAAATATGTAGTGTCAATAAAGAAAAAAAAAAGAGTCGACAGTAACCAAAGTTGCATACAGACAGCATAAACGCAAAACACAGTCAGACTCTTAGTTTTCTCTTGCTAACTGTCATCCCATTGCTCTAGCCATGAGGTGTGCAATGTCCTGACCAGCCAACATATTACATCCTCAGTCTCTGAGTTGAGGTCTTCACCTCTGATGCGACACTCGGGTGGACACAGAATGAAGCTTTCTCAGGGTGCCTGAAAGGTCATGCCATAGGTCAGGTGGTTACTCCCCGGCTTCGCACCACAGTGGCCTGGATTCGAGCCAAGGTCAAAACATGCGGGATCTGTGGCGGACGAAGTGTCTCTTGAAGAGGCAGTGAGGTTTGCCTTATTATAATGCAATACTTTCTGGCAAGATCAAATGTGTAAACACAACCAGAAGTTGAAAAAGGAGACAAGGATACAACAAATTTGATAATGCTATGTTGGTACCAGTCCTCACATATCAGAAACATGGACTGGGCATTAACAAAAAGTTCTGAGAACGAATTTTAATGCAGTGCAGCATGATATACAGGAATGGCTCTAATTAGGACTACAAAAATTAACAGATGTGGGAAATTTTAATCGGATGATGGAATTCTAGATTATAGCTCTCAGTGGAGATTTCATGTTTGATAACTGCAAATAGGAAACATCCCTAAACAAATCCAACCTTACAGATGGGCCTGATGAAGCGTGGCTACCCAACATTAAGGTGGCAGGATCAATGAATATTTCATGAAGCTCAAATTAATCATAACAGGCCTAAACCATGAAGATATCAACAAAGAATCATCAATGATATATGTTACCATCCTTACAGAAAACATTTACCTGCAATAACCCTCAAGAGTGATATGCCCTACCCACCATTGCTTACACACTGTTTTTCAAGTAGAAAACCTCAATGACTTATGACATCACACATCCCAAGAATGCTTTGTTCCATCAGCAAACTGTGACACTGAACACACTTGACAAGTTAAATAAGTTTATATTTTAATTAAGATAATCACCAACAAAGTTAACCACCTACTCATCCTAATGTACTGGAACACAGTAAGAGTCATGTACCTTCTCATGTAGCGGATCTCATTTAAAATTTGAACACCCAGAAAGAAACTGGTCTGGAAGTTAAACAAACTAGTCTCAAATGCAAAGGCCAGAAGGTCACAGAAATTACCTGAATAAAAGCCATATACAATGAGAATACCTGGAAAAGCGTACCTCTTTCGATCTTGATCCTCACTCTTTTGGTAAGGAAGGAGAATATGTGCATGAGGCAATCATTGTTGAGAATATCAATTTTGCATTCTCCCTCCTCCACTCCTCTTTCTTCATCATTCTCAGTCTCTTCTTCCTGCTTCTGTTTCCTTCTAATAGAGCTGGACGTCTGGGAAGCAAAGCTGTGACCACCAACTACTCCGATCTCCCTGTCATCACCTGCTGCATATTCACTCTCTGAATAAGTTGACTCTTTGTTATGGGACTGTGCCTTGGATGGAGACAACTGCAGGACAGGACGATGTTGGTGACCCTTCGAACCACCACGGGAATCTGATCTCCACAGCACAGTTCCATCTGGGAGTTCAACTGGCTGGTGCCAACTGTAAGCTGGCGCCACACATAAATTCCTTAAATGAAGCCTCAGTTCTCCTGGTTTCAACTCCAGCACACTGGAAAACGACAAATGTCAATTATGAAGAGTTCTGTCTTCTGGCATATAACATCAGGTAGGCCACTGGAAGTAAACCAATGTTTCAGAGGAGCATGTTGCCTCCTCCTTCAGAGTTCAAGAATAAGCCAAGCAACAAAACAGTGAGAAATGGGCAAGCAGAGCTGAAGATGGTGGCAAAATGTTCCTCCGAAACATAAGATGACTTTTAATGGACTACACAGTGTCACATCCAAGTAGAGAGAAATCTTCATAACCACCACCTCAAATCCTAGAACATCAATTATTTCTAAACATAACTCAGAATTACTCAAAATCCTTTAGAATCTACCTGAAGATTAGTGTCTCAGATAGTGTGTAGTCCGGTAGATTATCCAAAGTTTCAGAGGAAGCAGCTGCCTCCATCTTTGTGGTACAATAAGCCATGCATAAACACATATAAGTGGTAGAAATACAGGGAGAGAGAGGATGGACCAAGGACCACAGCAAACTAAGAGACATAAGGAATATAATGTAAAGGATACTTGCTCTTGACAGTCTACTTTTCAAGGCAGCAATAACAAACAATACACTCTAGGATTTAGTGACACCATCCAAAATCAGAACATCACAAAACTGTATATTAATTTTAGGAATAATTTTAACTATCCAAACCATTATAGGATTATAATCATTTCTAGCCATAAGTTACTACCCTGATATCAACAACGCATTTTCAACGGTCACATGTTTGTCAAGAAATAGATTATGGATAAACTAGTCTTCCGGAGGTTTCTCTGAAAATATTAGTATCAATAAACAAACTTACGCATCACATCTCTCTTCTCAGTCACTACCATAAGGACCTCAAATGTCACATCAATTATTACTGTTTCACTTCATACAGCTATGAGCAAATGATAAATTAAGATCACTAAGATGGAGTTAGGTTACACAGGCAGATTGCATGGAACACCATCACTCAGTGGGAGAAGACGTAGAACCCTCTCCAGGCATCCTCACCCCATTCACTGTGACCCTAACTGGGATGCAGGCAGGAAAGTATTATAACCAGAAGCCACAGACTGAACAATTACCACTATGGAAACCTCAGAATATATATAATGTCAAAAAACTGATTTCCATGTCTTGTATTATACATTACTATAGTTCTGTAGCCAAACATGTAACTGTAACACAACATGTTCGGAATCATGGACACAGTGCGACGTAATAATGCACACGTTGGCAGTAAACACTTCCCCGTGGTGACACAACAGCAGAGGAGCTGGATTAGGCAGCACTTTCCCACTGTGACGTAACAGCGGATGCTGCTGCTAGGCAAGAGGCCAGTAAACACTTCCACACTGTGACTTAGCAGCGGGCGCTGCTGCTGGGGGCAACAGGCAAGAGTATAAGAAGCCAGCTGAGGACCCCGAGCGTGGCAGTGTGTTGACAGAAGCCAGTGGTTAGCCAGGGTGGAGAGCAGAGCAGTTCTACAGTCTAGCGAGAGTTGTTAACACGAAAGGAGCGACTGTGAAATGACTTGTTGAACATTTTGCCTTATAGTTACATTAAACTGTAGTTATGGCGATGAGTAATAAAATGACCTCACAAGAATACACCCCTCAAGGTCATTTCACGACACAACACAGGATTAAAACTGGCCTGGACAATAATGCTAAGGTGCTAACAATATATGCCAACTGCACTCCATATTTATCATGTCAAGTCAACCAATTATTATCACCTTTTCTTAGTTAAAGTGTATTTAATCTCTGACACATACGTCTACACTCCTAGAGGATGTGCCATTATTTCCCTGCAGAAAGCACCCATGCATTTTTATTTACAGGAGAGGTCTCCATAGATTACTGAAATGTAATCAGAACTGTTCGAAAACACAATTCTGTGCTTTGGGGTACATGTGAAAGCCCCTGTTTTTTGAGATACAATCTTCATGTTCACCTATGATGGATAAACTCTTAAATACCAAATATGACTAAATTTGTTCCACCATTCAGGCATTAGTCAGGTGCTCATATACATATAGACAGAGAGAATTCCAAAACCTACTGTTTCACATTCACGGGTGCTAAAACATGTTAATCTGTAAAATCTTCAGACCAAGTTTTTCAAAATCGCGGTACGTTCAGTAATATACATAGGTGATGGTAAAAAATGCTTCTGACCATGCAGCAAAGGCATGAATGCACATATTCTCTTTTGCCACTGCCAGGAATTGAACCCAGACTCTTCATGCATTAAGCCCCTAGCCTAATTACTTTAAGAACTACACTATTCTGGTTCTATATGAATTTTCATTTGAAATTAATATAATAATTCACTACAGAAGCATTCCAACCTTTCTAGTTTTCACTAAAGGTCATGTCCAATCAGTAAAATAGGATTTATGGAATGGACTTTACATTAGGTGAGATTTTTAAGTACTGAAAAATAATTTAGGTTTCCAATATATAACAAGTTCATGTATAATTATATCTTGCACTTTTGATTTCAAACCAGACACTACTGAATCAAAAAAAGAAGACAGATAATGACAAAGTCTCAATCTGGTCACTCTCATATGAAAAAATAACCAAAATTACACTTATATAAACAGAAGAATAATTTTGTCAACACCTCTGAACTTCAATAATGGGCAGAGTTGTAAATGCTTTCTATTTACCTTGCCGCATCTTCAGGGTGCTTAAACGTCACAAAGCCAAACCTCTTTTTTGCATGCGTAAATCTGCCTCTTGAGACATGTGCGTCAACAACTGTTCCGTAAGGAGAGAAAAGATGCCGTAGATCATGATAAGATGTCTAAAAACAGAACATTTTTTTTAATTATTCCTGGAAAATAAATCAAATGATACTCATTCTGTGTACACAAAACCAGAAACATAAATTTCTTCATGTAATGGCAATATGTACATAACTCCAACAGCAACACGCAGTAAATTAAGAGGAAGAGAAGGTTCTAAAATAAAATTCTGTTTGCTTGTGAAAACACACAAGATGCAACATTACATACAAAATTGTTATCAATCTAAAGAGAGGAGGGATGCTGAAAGACCAGATAGGTAATGATGACACCAACTCTGAGCCTCACAATGAGTACTGAAGGCTCAATCCTCATTTTTTTCTTGTATAAAATATGATAATTTACAAATGGGTTTCATACTAGGATCAGAAATGTAATCTTCCAGATTCCTGCAATATTCTGTATATAAAAATTACTTTGATGAGCTAAATATTCAGAGATCCAACAAAGGTAGACAGATTGAAATGTATATTGTCAAGCCATTAATTCCAGAAAATAAATACTCACATACTTATGTTTAGCCCATTGAACATCTTTTTATCAATCACCAGTTCCTTCTCAGGTGTCCAAATGACAGTTTCATAAATTATCTTTACAAAATACATTAATGTTGCAATTTAAACTCAAAAAAGGTAATGAATTACAGTGTTACTTACCCTATTACTTAAATTTCCCAGAAATATTTTCCTTATTGGTGGGCTTTCGCTGTTTATCGAACTTAGCACACTGTTATTACTGTCATCATCATCTTCTGAAAAACAATATTCAACTTCAGAGGTTCCTCTGTTTGTTATTCTAAGCTCATTACATTATGAGGTACAGTTACAACTCAGACATTCTAGTCACATGACTTACCAGCATCCATCTTCCATTTACTTATTTTGTAACGAACAAATTGTGCCACTTCATCGATTGCTACATCCATCACTTCTGTCTGACACACACCAAGTCTGAAAACAATGCGAATATTTTGTTTTAAAACTGATCCATTTACCTGGTATCAACATTTGTTGTCCTGGACATTCTGAAATGCTTCATAATAATGTAACGAAGTTGAACTGAATGTCACAGTCTTGCGGCACCACTCCTGATTTTATTTGGCTGTGTGTTCCAATCTTGGCCTATACAGACTGGGTAACATTAGTGGGGTTTTCTGCACTTTTCCCCAGTCCCTCCCACCAAATACCAAGATAACACCTCAAATTTGATAATAAATGCATCTTCACACATTCCTTCCAATCCACTATTCATCATACCATTAATGCTTTTTAATATGTGCAAGTGAAAGAGTTATTAACTAAATCAAAAACTACAATATAATGTATGCAACTGAAAGTGGTATTAAATAAATCATAAATAAACAAATCCATACTTTATTCTGTGATATAGAATTAACGTGGTATACAAGAACATATTTCAAAACACAGATTAAATGCCTACTCAACCTTCCATGACTTCTCAAACTGTTCCTCATGATCCCCAGGGGAGCTCCAACATACCGCACTGGGTATCGCTGAATTCTCAATGATTATTTAAATACAGTTGTATCCCATCACAGTTTTGACAAGTTGATACCTACAGTCAACGGACACCGATAAAGGTAAATGACTTGGATTTCTCTTTCAATAATCCTCACATATGCATCAATAGATCTATGTGTCAGGGACTGCATATGTATATATATAATGTTTTACGGGGAGGTCAGAGTATCATGTATCATGAACCATGTACCTCTTATATTTTCTATGTCTGGCTTTGCCTTCTCCTATACCATGAACATGTTCATTCTCATGGCATAGTACAATGGCATACAATCATACACATAAGGCTGTGCACAAATTGTGGTCTGGTGTGCACCTTGGAAAATTTCCAATAGTGTGGAGAACCTTGTTTTGTAGCACTGCACTCAACTTGACTGGTCGAGCGATACGGCCTCAAGAGCAGACCCACAGAAGAAACCACTTCCACTGTTGCACGCAGGCCAGCGCCTAGCAACGGCTTCAGGACTCTTGTGTATTTACAAAGCTGTTGTCTGGAACAGGCCGTTGTCTCACTGCTTGTTTCGCGGTCGTTGCCTAGCAAAGGATTCAGTACTCCTGCTTATTTACAAAGCTGTTGCCTGGAAAAGGCCGTTATCTCGTTTGTTTCTCGGTCGTTGCCTAAGAATGGCTCCAATGCTCTTGCTTATTTATGAAGCTGTTGCCTGACAAAGCTCATTGTCTCATTAGCTTCGCAGTTGTTGCCTAGCAATGGTGCTATAATGCCAGAATATTTTTGGATTTCCATCTACAACTGTGAGAAGGTGACAAATGCACAGCAAATATGGTGATTAACAATACTATTAACTTCTTTCTCTGTTAACTACAGTGTATACAGAAAAATTCCAAAACTACAATCTCTATTCTTCTTCAAATATTATTATTATTATTATGTGCTGTGTGGTTGCTCCTGCTCCGCTTGAGTGCTAGGCGAGTTAAGAGTGTTTAGTGTAGACGGGCCTACTACTTCTGTAGTTATGGCGAGTAAGGACGTGTGTCTCCTTTGTGATAAACCGTTTTACGGCAAGCAGAAGTGCATTCGCTGTTGTGTATGTGAGTTACGTTTCCACTGTAATTGCCTGAAAACTAATATATCTGAGTGCAACGTTGANCAAGTTGAATCTCCTCTTAATTTCCTCCTGAATGAGGTTTTGATTTGTTATCGTCATTCCCAAATATCTGAGCTGTGCCACATTTTGAAAACAACTGTTGTTATTGTTGTTATTATTATTATTATTATTAGTATTATTAATTAATTAATTAAATATTTATGTTTCTTTTCACTTCTAAATAACACTTAGCTTTATGATAATGAAATTATTATTATTGTTATTATCATTTATTTGCTTGTTTGTTTACTTTTCTTCATTACTGTGTTTTCCCAAGAACTTTCCTGTAATTTATTTTTGACTTATAATGTGTTTGTCTAATGTTTGTATAATGTTACACGTAATTACTTTCATCTACACTGTGCTAAGTCTGTAATTGGCCTTGCGGTTGTTGACTTGGCACATAAATAATAAAGAATTGATTTGAATTATTATTATCACCAAATCAAGAAAAAGATGGACATGAGTGCACGTAAGACTTTGGAAATACACAATTTTGATCTTAAGACCTGAAGCACCTGTAAACTATGCATAGACGGTATAATATTATTAATGTTACATAGCGTTAGTAGTTAAATAGCCTGTTGTTCTACTTATGCTAGCCATTAGCATCACCATTTCCTTGGTGTTCATTTTCATCAATGTTTATTTGCATTTATTTACCAAAATTTACATTCTGGAATCCACAAGGCAGATGCTTGGGAAGTTCATTTCCACTGTTGGTGACAACTCTAACCATAACATCAAGATTATTTTAAAACAATCACAAATCTACATGGAAATTTCCTGACATGAATTCTATGTTACATTATAAATTCTTATTCCAAAGCAATAATGTTTAGGAAACATGGGATATGAGATAGCTTAATGAATGCATCTGAGCAGTGTAAGGGGCTCCTGTGAACATGGTAACATACCCCCAGGTTCTATAAAATGGCAGGCAATTCCTTAACTACCAGAGTAACCATTAGCTCCTCAAAATGAGGGGTCAGTTAGTGGAAGAAATAAACTAGGAAATTCTTGGGCTAGTTACAACAAAAAAAAACTCCGTGATTTCAGTCCACAAGCGAACCATACCAACCAAGCAACCACCACTTGTTAGCAAAGTTTAGTGTCAACTTTTGCAGATGAAGGGTGTCACGTGGTCAGTGCAACGAATCCCCACGGCTGTTAATTTCGGTTTTCTAGACCAGAGCGTCTGGTAGCATCAGGAATCGAACCCGGACCTCTGGATCTGTAGCCAGGAACACTGACCGCTAGACCAAAATAAACAAACAAAAAACAAGAAAAGGAAAATTGTATAACTTTCATCAAGTGTGTACTAAAATCACAATTATCTTAATTGACATATGGTCTTGGGCATGTTGTCAAAACAGGTGAACCAAAGATCAATTAGATTCTATTTCACAAGAATTAAGTTCAAATAATGAACTGAAAGGCACACTGATTCTTCATACAAAATGAGAACAGTTATTATTACATTATGTATTCTTGATTACATGCATTTTAGTTCATATTTGATCCCTGGCACACAAGAATTAGTGCTCAGTTAGGGTCTAAGGTCAGTTTTATTTCAAAGGATGATTCTGTCTTCTGGGTTATAACATGTTGTAGTTTGGTGGTGAAAGTCTACCGAGGTCTCGAAGGAACATATCATCTCCACTTCAAGATCCAAGGGTAAGTCTAGCAGAACCAGAATTCTCCCAAACATTAGGGGTCTTCACTTTATTACACAGTGTTATAACACAGAAGCATAGCCACTCCTGAACAGAATCCCAAGCCCAATAAAGTTGTACTTTTGTCTGCATATAACTATCTAAAATGCCATTTTTGTGTTCGGTTAGGTTGTACATTTTCCATTGCATTTTTCATTTACACTGAATAAAATCTTACTTTACTTGTTTTATAAATGAATTTGTAAAGTAGGTGAGTTAGCGGTTTCAAGTGATTTTCTGGTTACTGTCTGAATATGCCATATCAGTTACAAGAGCTGTTCAGGAGGAGGCTTTTTGGTGGAGCAAGAATGTGTATGTATGTATGTAGGGGGAGAAAGAACAGAAATAGCATATCGCTTCTAAAATTTTTCTCAGCTATAAAGGTACTCGCTAACTTCCATAAGCTCTGGAGACACAAGCCACTACTATATCAATGGATTTTCTAGTTTAGCACTTGAATACATAACATGACTACTATCCTAGAAAACTGGTTCCTGTCCACAACAAAACTGAAATACCATCCACTGCGATTGCCTTGACACATTTTCAACTTTTTCATACGCTTTTCTTTGCAGAACATAACAATATTTACATAATATAGCGACCCCCCGCCCCACATACACAAAAATATGTACTAAATCAAATATAAAACAATCGGTAATTTACTATGTAATATTATAAACGTATTGGAATACGTTTACAACATTGCCAGTATTTTCTGACCACATGAATTTCAACAAGCGTGTATAATGACAACATTAGCCAACAATTCTGATTTTTAATTCCTTGTCCCATTCTGACTAGCACAAGCACAAAAATTCAGAACATCTCCTTTAAACGGAACAATAAACTGGCAGAACAACCTTATTCCACGTTCTTTCAGATGTGCTACAACAAACACAAAGAAATTAACAAAAAGAAACCTACTTTTCTTCCGACCACTACATACACACTACGTACAGGAACGGGAACATCTGCAACCTAAGCAACTAAGCAACCACCCACGGAAACTCTTTGATAATGGTGGGCAACATGGCCGCGGTGACGTCTCGTGGAATTACTGCTGCCATCTCTACGCATATGTGTCCTAACTAAATGAGAAATGGCCACCAGCACCGACAGCATGATCAATACAATAGAATTCTACTATACCATCCTTTGCGTCCGCCCCTCCGGCCATCAAACCCTCTTCACCCTTGGAACCACCAGTTCACACGAATAGCAATAAATAATTTTGCAGCCACATCTATTGTGCTGCAGAGGTTCTTACTCCGTTGTTTTGTTTTCTTCTTCTGAACTACACTCATATCTGTTCCAAAGAATTTGAGTGAAGTGATACTCAACCAGTTCCAAAAAAAAAAAACACAACAGAGTAAGAAACTCTGCAGCACAAGGGATCAGTCAGTCCCAGACAGGTTCCGCTATGGCACTTATTCGTTAGTATATCAGACAACATAAATTTCCAAAACATTCTCAATCTGTAAAACAGTGTGGAAGCATCAAGAAAAATCTTGATGCAGAAGGCTCTCAAATATTATGTCACCCAAGAGTATTTAAAGGACTGATTTCAGATGGTGCACAGACAGTAGCAGTAGCAATATAGTAGTATTCAGAATATGTGCGTACATGTAACAATTGGGTGTTGTGTACAGTTGTGTATCAGAACAGTTGTATCTGTGACCTAAAGTGACTGATTTGTATATTCATGTAGGGCTGTCAAATAAATCAAGTCATTTCATCTGTAAAGTGTGATCCAGGGACTTCAACAAACCCTCTCTCTTTGGAGCAAGGCCCGTTAAGCTCTGAAGAGAATCTCATGCTCACACCCTGAACATCCTTCCCTTTTCCTGCTCTTAAGCCATCCTCAGCACCTTGACGTGGTTCTAAGGTCACGTGGTGTTCACCACTACAACCGGGGCTACTTCATCGAGGGCGTGAAGAGAAGAGAACAGTTAAAAGTGAAAAAAGCAGTCTTCTGGGATTTGGCACCATGTATATGTGGTGTTAACCAACGTTTCGGAGGAACATATCGCCTCCATCTTCAGGGTAGAAGGAAAACTATAAGATATCCGCAGGCGAAGAGACCGTGAGAACCGGTACAAGCAGACTGGTGTTGGAAATATACACAGCTATGTGAGAGCAGTGAAGGAAAGGGGGAAGGGCACGTCTACATGTGAAATCAGTGATTTCACNAGAGTGGTCGTCCAACGTTGTGCTACTACGCAAAACGGACTGTTAAAGTATCGGGGACTATTTTTCCGCGGATAAAGCGGCTGGGGCGTGAAGCTGACCACTCACCTCCAGCTAGTGCCGAGGTCAAGAAAATGTTGACCTATACATGCACTCTCCACGTAACATGATCAACTTATTACTATAATATTATTATATTGTTATTTTATTATCATTAAACAGAAATCGACTCGTGCATTTATTAACAATTAATGAACTTTAATTCACTGTAGTGTAGAAAATACACTTCTATTACTATTAAAGTAAATACAGTAATTCTACTCATACCTTCAATGTATACTTGCGCCTGCGTAGCTGCAAAAAGGCGGCTGATCCGTGGTGGAATCGTTGACAACGCAAGTGTCATTTCTTCATTGATGGATTTGAGCGGCTCCCTCTTTGATGTCTTAATTTCAGTTAACGTCGAGAAGCCCACTTCACACAAATATGTAGTTGAAAATGGCAATAACACATTAACTGCCATCTCGGAGATGGCCGGGTATCCATTCCTTATTGCCAACCAAGACTTATCCAAAGGCACTTCAAGAAGTTTAAATTTCAATGTTCTGTCTGCTTTTAAATCTGCGAGTTCCTCTTGTATATTAATTGGAAGATGTTCTGAATTCACAACAAATGGATCACGAACCCAGTCGAAATCTTGTACACTCTCCAAAATACTTATTGAATTTCTGCTGCAGCATTTCTAAATGTTCTTTAATTGTGTCCATCACCACTTTATTGCCGTCAGCATGTGGCCATAGAGTCGGGGACATCTCAGACAACCCATCTGTAATTCTCTAACTAGCAACCAAAATTTGCGAACTACTTCAGAGCACAGCTGTAATAGAACTGAAACAATTGTAAAACGAGGGATCTCTACTCTTCAAACAGAAGAAGTGACACTATACCGACTTTTTCTTTTCTTTTTTTTTTATTTTAAATTAAGTCCAACAATCGGTGGGTGCATCGTTACAGGAAGAAAGTCATAAAGCTGAAGAAGCTCTAACTTCTAACAGACAGGGGCAAATACCAAAACACCGTTATAAAAGCCAGGAAAACCCATGCTAATCCCTGCAGTTTTAGGGAAAAGCACGTACACAGAACATGCGGCAAGCATGTCAAAGAAGCTGCGTAGATGCGAGAAAAATAAAAATAATCAATAATGAAAACTATGATATAACAACAACTGTGAGTAAATAATTTACGTTTAATTTCTTAGAATACAACATTACTGCACATAAAAAATCACAGCATGTAATAAAGAATAGACAAGCATCGCCTTATTTAATCAGTGCAGTGGCTGAGAATAAAATACAAGCATATGAAACACGGTAACTGGGATAAAATAAAACGAATAAAATTCGACAATTAATTTCTTACAATAGGTAAAAGTTCGCGTCACACCTTTCACCTTGTGACGGCACACCGGTTGCAGAACACTGTGTTAAAATATCGGGGGCTATTTCTCCGCGGATAAAGCGACTGAGGCATGAAGCTGACCACTCACCTCCAGCTAGTGCCGAGGTCGAGAAAATGTTGACCTATACATGCACTCTCCATACACCTTCATGGCGTGGTGCTGAGTTAGTTAAGTACAGAGACAGATTTACCAATTTTTACCTTGGATTCATAGTAGTTCAAATGTAGACTACAGGACGTGTGAGTGCCAGTTTTCTGCTGATTCAGTGCCAAATTTCTTGTAGTTATTATTGTTGTTATTGACCTATTTGGAATTCTAACTGCTTTTTAATCATACTTTATACTTGTATTCTTAATGTGCAATTATTAAAATATTATTTGTTTTCATTGCTTCATGTTTGTCATGACTGCAATTATTGGATGAGTATTGTTTAAATGGTACATGCTGCCTTATTTTATCTTTGTGTGTGTGTGTGTGTCTAATTTGTTCCCTTTTTTGCTTGTGCTTACTTTATAACTGGCCTTTGGACGGTTGAGTAAGTACAAAACTAAACAAAGAATTGAATTGAATTACATTTAATTAAACTATTATTATATACTGTTGTTAGCATGCACTTGAGAGATAAAGGGAAGGCGGCTATTTCGAGACATAGCCATAGATGGGAGGATAATATTAAAATTTGTCTTCAAGAAACAAGATGTTTGTGGATTGAAATAACCTGACTCAAAGTAGCGACTGTGGCAGGCTGTTATGAAAACAGCAAAAAAGCAGAATGTTTTTTCGAATGGGAACCAAGAGGCACTGTGTTATGGTGCTCGTTATATTGTTTAATGTGCACAGGAAGACTGCAAGGAAAGCTCTCTGCTGTGTATGCATATGGCACTCCTGTAGACATGCTGAGCCCATGTTGTGTATGCATTTCCATGGCATACACAGGATACACAAGGGTGTGAATATCTGTCCGGACAATTTTCATCCCAGTTTATTGAAGGTGAATTGAGATCTCAGTAAAATTTCCATATAATTTCAATCAGATTGATTAATTTCTAAGCAGCATATATTCAGCACAACCGTTATTCTCCGTCAGTTACAACCATATCGAATCTTCTGGTAACTGTTCAGAATGACGAAACCGTATTAGAATCTAGGTAATAATATTACATTTTTTTAAGTTCTTGGCATTTGTTCTATAGTAGTCTGATGATTTTGGTAGAGGTGCTGTCGCATCAACTGTTTCCCATGTGAGTTTAAAACTCCACTGATAATTTTGAATTAGTGCTTCAAATTGCTTTAACAATTGAAGAAATTACCTGCACTGTAATAGTTTCTGTCATCTTATCGCTGAACTTTGTAAACTTATATAAAGTACAGCTGTCTGCTGATGTGGTCGAATATCACATTGACATAAATCAGGAAAGCAAATAAATGTGGCTTTTCATTGGGCTGGGAAACCCTCAGGAAAAGTTGAGGGCACTGACAGCCTGCAGGTAAGTGCAGACATTCTACGCAAAAATAACCTCCGGAACACAAACTCCATAGTGTACAGCAGTGTTTCCCAACTTTATTGATGCTGCGGACCCCCTTTACCAAATGTTAATTCACCGTGGGCCCCATAAAACCCAAAATGGGAATTTTTTATATTTTACGTATCATAAAAGTGAAGCAGTAACTTACAATTTTACAACTTTAAATGCGTCATTTATAACAATAAAATACTGTTATAAATGGAGCTTATTTGGAAGATTACAAACATATCAATTAGGCCTAATATTATGAATTAAACACTCACCTAATGTGATGGCTGGTGCTGTTTTTCAGACGTCATCAACTTTCGCATGTCAGGATCAAAACTGGATAATTTCAGACGTAGATCTGGCTCCACGTTAAGTCTGTTCCTATATATGTTTTTCATGTGTATAAGATGAGAAAATGTTGTCTCACACAGATATGTAGTGGAAAATGGCGACATATGTCTTACAGCCCTTTTGGAAATTTCAGGGTAAACAGACTTAGCTTGGAACCAAAACTCCAATAACGGTAACAAAGGAAACAGCATTTTGAACACTGAATCACAGGACAGTTCAATAAGTTGCTCCCCCTTGGCAGAAGGAAGTTCAAATTCAGAGTCTAGAAAGGGGGTTTTCGTCCAATCCTTATTTTCAGGACAAAGCGGAAAATACAGACGTAGTTGGGACGCCAATGACCTCATATGTTCAATCATACTTTCAGCAACATCA